TGGTGGTCAATGGCATTACAAGGTGGGTGGGAAGGAGGCTCAGTCATCAGGAAACTGGAAATCATAAATTACGATGCATTGAGTTTCCATTTTCATCTAGCAAGAAGTGCCAAGAATATAGTAAAGTGGACAATATGGCCATCCGTCATCTAGCGTGCATATGGTGATATAGTTCCGAAGTATCTTTTAAAATAAAAATAGAAGGGAATAAAAAGCTTTTCCAGTAATAATTTTGTGGTCGATGTGAAATGCAAAACGTGTTTGAACAACAATTATTTTTCTTTAAAAAATAAAACAATGGGTTACCAATGAGGATATTTGCTTTACGCCTTCCTTATATTTTATTAAAGAGTAACGTTATAAGACCTACTGTTTTTTTTATTCAAGAGTAACGTTATAAACATGAGGGGCGGGAACAGTTGGTAGTTGGTAGTGAATTATGCTCCAAGGATAGGGTCGTGTATTCGATCCTTGGTAGATGTTTTTTTGTGTCAGAAGTGATACAACTATCTAATGCATCCACAGTATTAATGAGGAGCTAACTCTAATGGTGGTACTCCTATACAACAAGATACATATCTTTAATTAATAATATAATCACAGGATTTTTTTATATTTCATAATAAAATCCCATTTCGTTTCAAGTCAAAGAGATAGATAAATAGACACATCTCATTGCACTGATCGCCAATGGTGGTACTCCGAGAGCAAGATGATTAGAAGGGTATTAAATGAATCAAGGGCGTTTGGCTCAGTTCGTGAAGATCTGAGCTTACATGTCTAAAATTGGTTGTTGGCACTACTCCAATTCAAAAATATATTATTTTATATTTTTTATACTACTTGTTATAGTCCTCTCTTTCTCCTCAATCCATTTCACCCCCATTTTATTGGTTCAATAAAGTTTTTGAATGATTTTGTTCTATATTATGCTGTTTGGATATGCCTTGAATTTATGAATATTTATGAAATTACTAGTATTGTTGATTGTATATTCTGTTTGGATAAATTTTTGTTGTCTTATTTTTTTTTTTAAACAGGCTAAACTAGGCTTTTATTTTTTGTAAATAAGTTAGGCCACAGACCGATAATTATATTTATAATAAGTAACAGGTTTGGTCAGAATAACACGTTTAAACACAAGCTTAATATTTTAAGACCAAAAATCGACTTGGCTCGGCCCGTTAACACCCCTACCTCCATATTAATACTAAAAAAAAAGAGTAAATTATATTTGTCTTATAAGTTCTATAAACATAGGAAAAAATATATAACATTTTAAATGATGTAAACTTATATCATTTTAAGTGAGAAAGAGATAGATCATGAAAGGGAGAGTGGACAAAAACATAAAAGGTGTGGATCTCACTTCTTTGTGAGAGTGAAATGACAAAAACTATGTCATTTAAAATGACAAACACTTTCCCATAAACATATTCTTTAAGTACTAAGAATTTAAGTATTAATAAACCACTAAGTTTAATTTAGTGGTAAAAGATTTGAGTAGGTTGTATTAGGTTATGTGTTCAATTCTCACTTACTTGTATTAGTTGTATCCAAAAAAAGAATTTAAGTATTAAATAAAAAAGAAACATTTAACATCTAAGAACCAAAAAATTATATAAAATTCCTTCTTAAGATTATTACCAGACTTGTTTACCAAATATATGCAAAGTATGAGTGAAGGTAACCCTTCTCTAGATATAAACTTTGGGAAAAATTAATATTATGTAACATGATATAAAAAATTTTACCCACTCACACATTGGTTTCCGCACTAGCATTTTTTATTTTTTGTTTTTATTATATGTATGGGACCCACATGCATCTTTATTTGAGTAGGAAAAATTGGTTAGATTATGTTAAATGATAGTAACTTTACCCATAAACTTTATATTCATTGTATATTATAACGGTTACTTATCTGGATCATTAAGAGTGCGTTTGGATTCACTTTTAAAAAAAGTTACTTTTATGCCTTACTTATTTTAAAAGTGCTTTTTATAAATATTAAGACTATTTATTTTTTGAAAAAAAAAATTAACTTTTGACTTTTGCTTTTTTGAGAAGTTAAAATTTTTAGTTTATGAAAAAAGTAAGTTTTTGACTTTTTTTATGACTTCTGTTTTTTTTAGAAGTGGCATCCAAATGCACTTTAAACTAAAAGTGCTTTTTTTTGGGGGGGAAATAACTTCTGACTAAAAAAAACTCATCCAAACGGACCCTAATACAATTAGTTAGGATAAGAACAAAGTGTGCTACTCAATGGCTTCCACGAGAGTCTAGAAGGAATTTATAATAAAGTATACGCGGGTATTAATAACTATCATCACAGTGCAAAACTATCCCCAAACTACGAAATTTTCATGATATGCCTTTTTATTTATTAAAATATAAATTTAACGCTCTTAAAATAATTTCTTTTGCCCTCCCAAATTTTTCATCCTAGTTTACCCCTGCTAGATGAAACATGCTTTGGAGTTTCAAAAGAATCCCAGAGTCTTGTACAACAAAAGCTTCTACCATGCACGAATCATGTAACCTGAACGTCACCAATTTCAGCAATTTTTTTAACATTCTGAAACTGATTTTAATGGCACGGCTTCAGCTCTAAGAACTTCACTGCTTATAATCCAGTATGTTTCAGTATCTTATTTCTCCAACGAAAGAGAAAGCAAGAGTTTCCATTCATGAAATTTTAACACTAAAAAAAAATCATTCCCCTTCCTATTTGGTGTATCTTGTTGGTTAAGTGAATAGTGGTTGGAGTCATAAGAACTTGACCAATATTAAGAATTAAATAAGACAGTTTCTTGACTCCTTGAACCCAGTTTATTCCCACCCAATTTTCAATAGTTCCATCTTTCCCAGTAAAATTTTGGATTCCATAATACCTTCACAAGTCGAATGTTTGGATGATCCCTTTGTTAGGAACTCGGTTCCCTCAGATCGGCTCAGGGGCCTTTGTGTGGAGTAACGTGAAAGGAGGCACCGGAGTCAACAATCCAGGTGCAGTCATCATATGCAACATTCAAATAATTATCCTCACCAAGGAGGAATATCTCGGCATCCGGGTTGGCAGCTACCGCAGTGGTGCTCTTATGGTCTGTCTTTCCACAGTAAAAGCACTCCAACTCGTATTTCGGCTTTGACCGACCTCTGGACTTTTCTCGTCTGTCACGACCTCTACCCCGGCTTTTGCTTCTACCCCGGGAGTCAGATTTCCCTTTGTTCTCAGCAACATTAGCCTTAGACGTACTTTAAGTACCTCGTTCTCTTCTCCTCGATTCTTCGCCCAGGAGGCTGTCTGTCACGACATCCATCTTCAATTTTCCATCTGGAGTCGAGTTATTCAGGGTCACCACCAGAGTATCCCAACTTTCTGGCAGCGAGCTAAACAGCAGCAATGCCTGCAATTCTTCATCAATTTTCATATCAGCCTTTGACAGCTGATTCACAATACCTTTGTAGGTGTTCAGGTGTTCAATCATGCTCATGATGTCCTTGTATTCAAGCATAACAAGTCGGTGAACCAGGTGTGCTTTGTTCCTGGGAGTCTTCTTCTGAATCATGGACTCCAGCTTCGTCCACAACTCATACACGTTCGTGAATTCGGACACGTGCTCAAAGAGACTTTTATCAATATATTTCATGATCGTGGCTACCGCCTTCTGACTCAGGATCTCCCACTCCTTATCGGTCTTGCCTGCCGGTCTCTCATCAAGGGTAATGGGCTCATATAGATCTTTGCAGTAGAAATGATCTTCCATCATCGGTCTCCAATAAGTGAAGTTGTCTACGGTCAACTTGAACATGTCTCCATCATTGGTTATGCCACTGGTCTCCATCTCGTCTCCCTCAGAACCCATCGAACTCGGGCTCTGATACCACTGTTGGGAACTCGGTTCCCTCAGATCGGCTCAGGGGCCTTTGTGCGGAAGTCAATCTACAAGATCCTGATCTCAGATCTCGGCAATACCTCGGCCTGAACTTCACCAGGTCAGGCAGCGCAGCGGAAATATCAAAACGAAAAATCTCAAAACAGGAGAGAGAAAAGAAGAACACAACCAGATTTAACGTGGGAAAACCTTCTCCAATGAAGAAGTAAAAATCCACGGGACCTAGTCCAGATCAAAAATCCACTATGAAAATAATGGTTACAAAGAATCAGAATACACCAATGTGGTGGTTAACTCAACCTCTCCAACAATGGTGATAATCAAACTACCCTAGAGATGTTTCACTCAAACTCTCTCTAGAGATCTCTCAAATGCAAAGCAGAAAGCTTTGCTCAAACAATTTTCTCTCAAATATCTGTCAAATAAAATTCTCTCATATGACCTAGCATCCACCCACAACTAATGAGTATATATAGAGGAGGTGAAAATTAGGGTTAGGGTTTTTAGGAAACCCCTCAAATGGGCTTGGACTTAACATTGAAGGAGGAAGCCCAACACCCTTAAACTCCTTTTACAATGAATATTAGTGAGTACAATATAGAAATCAGATTAATAATGCATCAACTGATAATAGTGAAAATTCCACTCTGATCAATCAATTCCACATACAAATCTACAACAGCATTTCGCTAGAACGGTGCAATAATCGATAGGTCAAAACACTTGGAGTGAATTTTGAGCTTCGAAAGTAAATCTACATTTTTTCCTCAGATTACAGATTCTTTGACTGATTAAGAGAATAATCAATACAAACTGAACCCAAGACTACATATATACATATCTACTAGACCATTTTTTCATTTTAACATCTAAATCAAGAACAATGCAATACTTTCATGCCTTACGCTGCACCGTTATAACCTATTATAAAGAAGGTTTAAACCTATAACCCCAAGCTTCAGACATCAACATCTGAGCGTGTCGGGAACTCAACGCCCCTTAATGCAGGTATGTTGTCTAAATCCTCTTTTGAAAACAAGGGTAACAACCATAGGGCCTTCTTTGTGCCAAAAACCTTGATAAGAAAGAGGTCAAATAGAGAAGAAAAAAAAAGATAGTGAATAACTATATTCACAAGCTATTAGTTTTATCAGAGATCAGGCTACTACTATTACATGAAATTTTTTATTTTGATAAAAACTATTACAGGATTTATTCCTCAGTATAATACTTTTTTGTTTTTTGGTGTAGCCTCAGTATAATACTTTATGTTAAACTAAATTAAAACATCATATTACTTAAGATCATATTTTTGTCATTAAGAGGAGCTAAAAGCTAATAGTTTAATTACAGATCATGAGAATATCATTACAGGATTTTTTCATGATAGCTACACCTCAGCAGAAGACTTTATTTCATGTTGAATTACATAAAAACATCACATTATTAAAATTAGGTTTTGGTCACTAATACGGGGGAGGAAAAATTCTTACATCCACCTAGAGTAAGAATTTTCTTAATCTTAACTTCAACATCGATTTTTAGGCCACTGCTCTCTCTCTCTCTTTCATATCTTTAGAAGCAACGGCTAGAGATCCCCTCCTGGAGTGAAGAAATTTTTTACTACAACAGGATGTAAGAATTTTTATTTTTTTTAGGGGGCGAGAGGGGGAGGAGTAGGAGGACTGAAAGGTGTAAGGAATTTTTTTTTTAATTGTACATTCTCTCTCTCTCTCTCCCCTCTTCCTTTTTTAAACTTGGTTTTTGGAAACAAAAACAACTATTTTTTAAACATAAGCTCTTCTTGGAATTTATAGGAACAGAAAATATAGGAAAATTAGGAATCAATGTCTACCGTTCATATCATTTACTCTTGTTCGGTATAATTTAATTCATGGAAACAAACTCCCCATCTAAGCCCTTGAAACAATTCATTAACACATTTGTTTTGGACCGGCCACACTGACTGAGTCCAATGCGCAAGCCACTAAGGCCCATTTAAGGGGTCACATTCCTACATCCCTAAAGTGAGATTTTTAGACCCTCATTATAAGATCTCACTCCCCTATAGCAAGTACCAACACAGCTCACACCTCACGTACAGTGGGACCCACTAGGACAGAAACGGTTATGGCCCGTTCTCACTCATCATTAGGGAATCTTTCCCACCCATAAATACTCCTCTTCAGCCATTGAAGAGGCACCTTCTAAACATTAATTTCAAAGTTGTTACACTACCAGAATACACTCAGAGCCATTGTGCCCTTGGACACCATCCCCCTTTCTCTCAGCCTTTGTGTGAGACTGCTCACGATTACTCTTCATAGAACCTTAGTCTATACAATTGCCTCTTAGATCACTATTATATCGAGATACTTTACCTCTTTGAGGGAAATAGTACCTAATCTCAACAAATTATCAATTCAACATTATTCTTCACTCAACTAATCCATGTTTAGTGTTCATACACTTGCACCAGAGATATTACATACATACATTTTTATTTTTTTATTGTTAACTGTTAACTCATGAATCATATATGTAATGTGTGCTTCCTAAATTTATGAGCTTTAAAGTAGTTTAATCTTGTTAGACATGTTTGTTTCGTTGTTTTACTATCATTCTGTAATCTTTTGCAACTTGATATTAGATATTACCTGCTCAAAATTCTTCTTCCTGCCCAAGTCGTACCTCCACCTGACTCCTTTTTTCTTTTCATGAACCTAAAACATCATTTTCCCAAATAATCTTTTAGATAAAAGAAGGTACTAAGCAGTATGAGAAAGATTTGATAAGAAACAATTCCTCTCTCTTAGTTTTTGAAAACAATGTCAATTTGTTCTCAAAGTTATAAGGAAGTTAGTGTTCCAGGCTTTCTTCTAGTTAAAGGTCAATGAGATAATGAGGAATTGATACTTGAATCAGTACCTCATTGAAACAAAAATAAACCCCAAGTACATAACCATCTTATCAAAATCAAAGATGGCCTTATGAATCTCATGATTCTGATGTAATAGCTTAAAAATAGCCTGGCATGTTTCGTATGCCACTAGAACAGGATATGCTGGGTCTCAGACACAGGTTAACAATATTATTACCACATACCAGTTGAAAGAGGGTAAAGAGAAAATAACATTGCATTGATTACCTCAACTGATGTTGTGTTGCTTAACAGGAGAGATACATGCATAACTACGAAACACAGAAGACTCAGTGCAAAGGCTAAATTAAGAACTGCATCAAGGCACACAATCTGTAAGAAACATTAATAGTTATGAGAATGCAATAAAAGCTATTCAGAGTGACTTGATTTGAACAAGCGCACTTATACTTACTAGAAGCCAAAAAGATGACCCCAAACTCCCCAGGAGACAATGAATGATTCTTGGCTCCATCAAAGAATCTGATAAAACTAGGGACCAGAGCTAAGCAATCCAGCGTTGTCTCAAGGAATGTATACAACTATGAATAGGTGGAGGGGAGAGAAATCAAAATTAAGAAAAACAAATACTAGGGTCTAGAAGTAGCAAGTAATTTAACCCTTTCCCAATTCCAGTTGATCTTCCCTCCTTTCCTTCTAACAGTATGCACTTTCACTACTTTCAGATTTTGTTTTCCTCTAAAATAAAAGTTCAAGTATGTGCTTCCTGTTCACATTCAGAAGGCACTTTCTGTTCATGTTGAGAGAGGAAATATAGTTGATTTGAATGATATAGTAGTAAATCCCCAAATCTCTCATTCTAATTTTTAGTGTTAAATGCACTTCCCACCTACTGTCACTAAACTTGATGATCAATGGAATGTTAACTGGCAATACACTGAACCCCATACATCTAGTTAAACAGAGAAAAATGGGAGGGGAGAACATTAAATTTTACTTGTAGGTCAAGCTAAACTAAGAAATTAGGTGGAAGGAAGAAAAGAAATACATTTACCAAGAAGAGGAGAAAATACTTGTAGTTACGTGCCCCAACACAATTGACAACCCAAACACAATGATGATCCATCTTAAGAACACACCTTTGGCCTACAAGAAGAAGCAAGATGGTTTTATGGTATGTTTCATTATGTACTGAAATTATAAGCTAACCCAAATAAAGGCATCGTTGAGACAAATAACAAACAAATTTATATTAAATATGGAAAGGAATACAAAAAAAGGCATATCAGAAAAAACAGATTGGAAGTGACTTACAAACAGAACAGTGATGGCAACGCGGTGGCTTGCCATTTTGGCAACGAGTACAATATCCGGTGGAGGGTCTTGTCTCCAAATCCAATCCATCGGAAGCGTGAGATGCAACTACAACTTCAGCTTCAGCTTCTAAATTGTGTTCCTGCACCTCTACCTCTACATCTACATCTACATCTGGTCTCCAATTTTGAGGAACAGAACCGGGATCGTTGACTACCACCATAAAGTAGGACCATGTTAATAGTATAAGCTGCAAATAAAACATTTAAATTGAATATTTAGAAGAACGATGTGTGAGTCAGAAATGAAATAGAAGAAAAGGGAATTCGGAGACACGGACGAGGATGTGAAAGAGGAAGAGAATAGAGAAGGCGAAGAAGGAGGAGAGTCCTCCGGCACGAAACAAGAGAGGGCCCCAGGTGATGAAAACGACGGCGTAGTAAGTGAGGGAAACAATAGCAGCGAACAAGAGGATCATCAAGTACCCCAAAACTCTGAGGCCAGAGCACAGCTTAAACAGGTTTATATCCGTTCCCCTTCTGATTCCCATTCTTAATCTTATGTTTGGAATTGGGAGTTGAACTGAGAGAGACCTTCTTCTTCGTGCCGGGAATAGCCGTTTCCAGATATCCGAAGCCAGGATGGAATTCCGGTTTCGAACTCGATTACCACTTTAGGTTAGGGTCGAACTCACGCTTCCGGATGCAGAGAAGAGTAATACAAACTAGTTTCCTCACACTTTTCCACACAACTTTATTTGGTTTGGAATCTTTGGATAGCACAAATTCGGGTCGGGTCGGATCTAAATCACAAAAATGAAATATCTATCTATATCTATATGTGTTTTATTAATGTTACTGACATAATATAAAGGTAGTTTCTAACTTACATAATGATGAAGAAAGAGAAAGTGGAATGATGAAAGAGAAAGAAAAATATATGGACCCCACCTCTTTAATGTGTGTGTAGGAAAGTGAAGTTATGTTATGTAAAATAATAAACATAAAACCCTATCTATATCTATATTAATATATAACTAGAAGAGAGAAATTATTGTAGGACAAAAATGTCACGTATTTACTTTAAATCCTATGAATCAGATTTATTTTCACATTTAATCGGTTAATAATAATAAATTAATAAAAAAAATAATAGTATAGTGAAGAAGATTATACTTACAACTTTTTTTTTACAACCTCTTTCAACCATATCTTAACACCGTTGATTTTCGCCAATCAACGGTTATCATTTATTGTGAATTAATAATTAATTAATGAGTTTAATTTGTGAAAATAAAAACCGATGATTGACGGAAATCAACTGTGTTAAGATATGATTGTAAGAGGTTGTAAAAAAAGTTGTAAATATAACATTCCTCATCATATATATCCTTAATGGGAACTAAATGAAAAATGTAAATTAAGTGAAAACGAAAATTAACTGAGAAACGAAAACTAAATGAATCAGCAATCGCAGAAGATTTTCATCCCAAGTTTGCCTCAAATGAAAAACATAAACTAAATGAAAACGAAATAACATGAAAAACAAAAATTAATTGAGAAACGAGTCAGCAATAAAAGAAATTTTTCATTCCAAGTTGGGCTCAAAAAACAATAGTATATACCCTTAATCCTTAATGAGAACTAAATGAAAAACATAAATTAAATGAAAACGAAAACTAAAACAAAAATTAATTGAGAAACATAAATATCATGTGTCTGCTTTAAACCCCGTGAACCAGATTCATTTTCACACTTAATCGGTTAATAACAATAATAATAATAATAATAAATAAATAAATAAAATATAATAGTATATTCTTAAATGTGAACTAAATGAAATACGTAAACTAAATGAAAACAAAAATTAATTGAGAAACAAAAAATAAATAAGAAATGGAAACTAAATGAGTCAGCAATAGCAGAAGTTTTCCATCCCAAATTTGGCTCAAATGAAAAACATAAACTAAATGAAAACGGAAATTACATCAAAAACGAAAATTAATTGAGATACGAAAAATAAATGAGTCAGCAATAGCAGAATTTTCTCATCCCAAGTTGGACTAAAAAAAATTATAGTATATGCACTGAATGAGAACTAAAAGAAAAAAAAGTAAACTAAATTAAAACGAAAACTACATGAGAAACGAAAATTAAATGAGAAATGAAAATTAAATGAGTGCAATAGCAGAAGTTTGCAATCCCAAGTTGGGCAAAAATAATAATAGCATATACCCTTAATGGGAATTAAATTAAAAATGTAAATTAAATGAAAATAGAATTAATGGGAACTAAATTAAAAATGTAAATTAAATGAAAATAGAAAGTACATAAAAATGAAAATTAAATGAAAAATGGAAATTAAATGAGAAACGAAAACTAAATGACTAACAGAAGCTAAATGAGAAACGATAACTAAATGAAAAAACGTAAACTAAATAAAAAAGGAAACTCAATGAAAAATGAAAATTAATGAAAAACTGAAACTAAATGAGAAATGAAAACTAAATGACTAACGGGAGCTAAATGATAAACAGAAGCTAAATGAAAAACGAAAACTAAATGCAAATCAAGAATTTGCACAATAAAAAAAGAAAAACATGGACGAATAGAGTAGTATCAAAGAAAACATAAAGAAACAAAATGAACAAATTGATTATTAATCTCCGGATAACGCTTCTACACAATTGTTTTCTCTTTTATATACACACTTGGGCCTAACTAACTAATGTAACTCTTGCTTGCAGTTTTTAACTGCTTAACATATTTCTAATACTATTACATTGCACTTTACACCTACTAACACTTGCACTAATAACATCAAACAATTCTATATGATCTCATGAACGTAACATTGCCTTCTTTTCAAAAACAGACCTTGTCCTCAAGGTCCAAGTGGGAGAAACCTTGAGATCAACCATAACCATATGGTGGAGGTAGCCAATGAAGCAATGTTGCGAAGCACCTCCAAATAAGTTCCTCTAACTGTTTCAAACCATTGCTATCTATCGCTTGGTCACACTTCCAGACTAATGCAAACAACCCAGAAACTATTTCTTTAACCAAAATAATGGTGGGTGTTGCTAGCTTGATTAGGCAAGGAATGTTCAACTCAATGTCTTCTTGAAAAGAATATTGGACCAGCAGATTACAGTAGCCAAAATTCTTGCGCAATGAACGAGGTTTTCTGGATAGAGCCAATTGCTTGAATTGTGATTGTGAATGCTTCTTCTTTTCAAATGGCACAATCACAACAAGATTTGCTAGCATTTGGACTTTTAGGTGATAACCCTTTTCTTTGTCGTCATTCTTATAGAAATGTGAAGCTGAGCTGGTATTCAAACTTTCTTCCCCATTACTGCTCACCATAATATTACTTTTCTTGGCTATGAAATTACTTTCAGTAGTGATGTGCAATGCAGAGTACACATTTGGTGTAAAGGCACACCCATAGGAAGGTAGTTGAGGTGGTGGTGGCTAAATGTTGTGTTGTCTCAATGACTCTGTGAATTGGCTGTCCTTGGCAAAGACCAAGTGGCCATTCTTTGGGGAAATCATGCTGGTAAAGTGGGGGCCATTGGGTTGGAAAATAGGCTTCTTTGCATCATTTCCCTTTGAACAAGGTAGGGAATTTCTTAAAGCACCAAAAACAGAGGCGCAACTCTCTTTTGATCGAACATCAGAATTTCTTGGAGGAACCTGCATTGCTCTTTGATCCAACAAAAACTGTATTGATTTTGCTCTCAAAGCATCAGTACCCAGATGGTTTCTGTGTGGACTTTCGTCGAACACTTTGGGTTCATGGTGGGTGAAGAAGCCTTTAGACCCAAATAGTGGCTGAGTTGATTGTGAGCAATATTGTGATGATTGCAATCCACTTGGTACAATGTTAGGTCTCCTGGTGTGAAGTTTCGTGCCTTTGAAATTTGACAACTCCATTCTTGCGAACTTGTTCGGAGTTCTTTGATCCAACGAAGATGGCGTTGATCTTGCTCTCAAAGCGCCAGTACCCAGATGGTGTTGATCTTTCTCTTTCGATGCTCCTATCGTTGTGTATATCATCTCATGTGGGTGGTTTAGTGGTAGTTCCTGAATGGGAGCTAAAAGGATCGATGATGGGTTAATACCCAGAATTGCAATGTGAATTTTCTACAATAGATTCGTGATATTGGAGAACAAAGCTTGATCTTCGCTGCAACCTTGCTTCATTCTTGTTTTCATCTTGAATCACTTGATACATTCGACGAAGATGAAGGTTCGTGATGAAAGCACCAATGATACAAAATCAAGAATCTGAACAATAAAAGAAGGAAAATAGGGATGAATAGAGTAGTATCCAAGAAAACATAAAGAAACAAAAATGAACAAATTGATTATTATTCTCTAGATAACCCTTCTACACAATTGTTTTCTCTTTTATATACACACTTGGGTCTAACCAACTAACTAACGTAACTCTTGCTTGCAGTTGTAACTTCTTAACAGACTTATAATACTATTACATTGCACTTTACACCTACTAACACTTGCACTAACAACATCAAACAATTCTATATGATCTCATGAGCGTAACGAGATGTCAATTCGGTCAAATATGGGAGATATTATTCAGACACCTTGGGTATCAAATAGAGGGAACAAATTGTCTTAAGGAGACAACATCTGTTGGACTCAGATTTCTTTCATTTTTCCTGCATCTGTTCTTCGATATTACCATGTTTTCTATTGTTTATTTTTGGTGCAGATTTATAATTAAATAATATTGTTCCATCGTGATTACACAGACTCAAACTCTACCTTGTAAATTCAGATATATTTTGATTTCTAAATGTCTTACATAAACAACAGTTTTTGAGGTGACTTAGTCGTGTCATGCAATACGCAATGAGTGGTTATATATAATGGAGAAAAATTGAGAGAGAGTAGGAGATTGAGGTGCTTTCGTGTAGTAGGGATAAAAAATGAGAAGCATTGAGTGGTCGATAACAGGATACAGGCGTAGTACCGCAACTGTACGTGCTGCCAAGTGCCAACCTATCACTTCACCCCGCTCATTTACTACGAAAGCTGTTACATCAAGATTTCGATTTCGCAAAGAATTATTGTAAGGGACCATACATAATTTTTTATTATTTCACAAAAAAATGGAAATATATTTTTTTCTTTCGAAAAGAATTGTAAACTTTTGGACCCCTCAAGGATTAAAAGGAGCCACCCCCTGTCTGTAACGAAGTTATAAACTTAAATCACTAAATACATACCATGCCATTGTCTTGTCTCAACTCAACCGAGCTTTTATTAAAAATACATAATAATTAAAAAAACCACTACTCAAATATATATTTAGAATTATTAATCCTTATAGTTAATTTATAAACGTTCTTAACCAATGTGAAATTTAGAATACCTGGGCAAGTAATTACATATGGGATATGGTGATCATCTTTAAAGTTTATTTTAAGAAGTTACGAGGTTCTTAGATTTCTCATATAATAATAATTGCGTAATTGAAGATACGAACTAATTAAACAGAACAAATTAACAATCGTTTCGGTAGAGGACAAAATGAAAAGGCATAAAAGAATTTAGAGCATTATTACAAGACGTACGTACGTTACACATAATTAATCACCATGAATGAAGCAGGTAGCTTTTGAAGATCCGTTGAGTGTCGTTACTTACTGATCCAAATCCAATCTCCTGAGAATCTCAGATTTAAGAGCTTCTTCGCTTCTCATCCCCTCAGGAACCTTAACCAAAACATCTTGAAGCATAAGCTCATTAACAGAAGACATACTCGCATGGTGCACTTGAAACTCTAAGTCACGCAATGCAACCATTAACCTGGCCCCAGGGTGGTTCGCAGTCTCCGATTGAACCCTTACCATGGCATCTGGCCCAATGATCTTCACCTCAAGTTCAAGCGCAAACCCATTCGTCCCCGTTTGGTCAACGGAGGAAGTTGTGGTGCTATGGTTGTCCATATTGTCACCCATTTCCACTTTCACCTTCTTGTTAGACTCTTTCTGCAACTGTCCCTCCATTTCATCCACCTTTGCTTTGAGTTCGTTGATGTAAGCCACAGCATCCGATAACAGAGAAGCTTTGTCCATTCTCGAAACGTTCGGCACCACCGCTCTCAACGCGTAGAAGCGGTGGTTCAGCTTCTCTCGCCGCTGCCGCTCTGCCTCCACGTGGTTCAACGGCGTTTCACGGCCAAGACCTGGCTTTCTCCCCCTCTTTTTCGGTGCTCTTTTCTCTGTCATGAGTGCACAATCCGAGTCAGAATGTTCAGAATCTGCATAAGAACGTTGACGTGACCCGAACTTGAGCACCGATGACTCCTTCTTATTCTTATTGGGATCTCTTTCTTTTCTCTTCTTTACATCGTCGACGTTGGAATTGTCTTCTTCTTGAACGCCGGCGATAATGCCGATGTCTGCGAATGAGATGTTCTGGTCGTCGAAGAATTGAATTGGGTTTAGTTGCTTATTGTGTGGCATGCTTATAATGAGATCGGATCCAAACAGAGATTTGGCATGTTGGAGTAGTCCCCAGTTTTCTGTGATGACATCGTTGGAACCCATTTCAAGAACGCCATTGCTGGTTGGGATGTAGATTAGAGTTTGGATCCCATGCACGTAAGCCTCTTTAGCTCTTTCGCAGTTGGAAAATTGAAGCTCGTGATGATCGCTTTTTAACCAAATCAAAGAACCCGAAGTGAAGGCCTTGGCTGGAAGTGAAGAAACATCTCCAACGGAGAAAGTGCGAGTCAACGACATGACATAGAACCATTCACCGTCATTGCACATGTTGTCGTTGATGAGAGATTGGATGTCTTTCATGAACTTCATTCGCTCTGCTAAAATGGGGTAATGATGGGGAAGCCTAGGAGAGGTGTCTTTGGTTCCTTGGAAATGGCCATCTCCCCATGATAAGTAGAGGTTGCCATTGTCGTCGTTTGTTGTCTGCCAGAAAATGGCATACACCCACCAATCTGGTTGACTCTGGAGTAAGAATTGAAGCTTCTGTTGGAGGGTTGGTGTGTTTTCATGGGGCAGAGAGACCAAAGAGGACGATGAAGAAGGAGATATTATCAAATCCTCCATCGACTAGGCAAATTAGTGATGAAGGGTACAGATTATACGGTAATAAGTAATAACTACGAGAGAGAAAAAAAAATGTGTTTTGAAGGGTGGTGACTGGTGAGAATTGGAAAATTGGAAACAACTAAATATATAGGGGCTGACCGCTGACAAAATGAGGGGGCTTTAATAGAAAAGAGAGAAAACTTCTATTTTGTACGAATCATGTCATGATATACAAACAAACACACACACACAGAGAGAGAGAGAGAGAGAGAGAGAGAGAGAGAGAGAGAGTTGAGGGAATAAGCTAAAGGGTTGGGAAGTGGGGAGATTATATGGGAGAGCAGGTAGTAGAGAGAGTTGGGCGTAAAGGGTGTTTTTAAGGGTGGCGATGGTAGGGGACAGCGTGTCCAAATCAGCTTAATAGGCCGTCACTCTTGGGCTCCACTAGCACGTGCAAAGAAAGCGAGAGGCTCTGTGACATGTTTATTGTCAGTGCCTTTTTTTTGAATTTATTTTTAAGAGACAAAACATTATTAACAAAATTATGAATTTTTGGATTGTTTTAATAAAATGTAATTTAAGAAAGAATACAAATTTTTTATTACCCATTAAATTAAACTATATAATATTGATCATACTACAAAAAAACCAATCACTAACCTCTTACTTTTATTTCATGCAAAATAACGCACAAGACATGTGATGTGATAATATGATAATAAATTTATGTTATTTTATTTATGAAATTACGCAATTCTTATTTATATACATTTGTCTCTTATTTTATCTATTCTGTTTATAATTTAATTGAATATGCATCAAACTCAGCCATTTACTCATGACAAGATATTTGTGGCATAGTAGGAAAATATAATAAAACCAAATTAAATAAAATAATTACTCCCTCTCGCCTATCATCTATCTTGTCCTTTTATTGTACCACTTTCCTTGTGATGGGAATTAAGAAGGGGATACGACTTCGATAGCGTTATACAACCGAATCAAACAGTTTTTGTGGTTGAAATTGTTCCAGCACTTAATGTTACGACATTAAATTGTTTGTATATAAAACGTGAATTTAAATGTCGAGAATTGATCTGGGGTTGCTGTGGGTGGGATTAAATTGTGACTCAATATATCATATCTTGGGGTTACCTTAGAATCAATTTCATCACGATTTACCCCTCGTTTCGATAGTTTTGCAATAAGCTCGAATCTTCCATAATTAAATTAGCGATTGTAAAATCAACATCAGACAACACAGCGCGTATTTGGATCCCTGACTATTAGTAGCAACTAGCAACTATGCTACTTAAAATTCATATTTAAATATGTGCTTTTACAATTTTATGATTTTTTTTAATTTAAATTCCAAATATTTTTATATTTTTATGATTTTTTATGATTTTTTTTATGTTAGGATTTTATTTTTTATGATTTTTTTATCCTCCTTTCGATTATAGGTAAAATTCCAATTTTAATTACCATACTAGCAACAGCTTGTTTTTGGAAAGTCATCCATACTTTAGGTACAAAAAAAAATAACTAATTAGACATTTGTTCTCACCGACCTAATAGACTAGCCCAATATAGCAGGCCCAATGGCAAGGCTCAAGTCATCTTAGTCCTATCGATACTGTATCGTCAACCCAACTGCCCCAACACTGTCATCCCTGCTCATAAGGATTAGCTTTTCCAATATTAGACACTAAGGACATGTTTGGTGCACATGCAGTATAGGATAAGTCTTTATAGTATAAGATCTGATTGTATAAAATTTGATTGTAGGGTTAGGATCATTTTACACCAGTGTAAGTTACACTCTTAATCTTGTCCGCTGATTCCACTTATATCTAATGGTTCAAATTTTTTAGTAATGTGAGTCATTCGATACAAGTGGATCAATGGTCAAGATTGAGTGTAAGACTTCTAACTCTTACACTGGTGTAAGAATATCCTGCCTCTTGATTGTATAAGACTTGATTAAATTTTAATACTATCCAGCATTTGACATGATATTGTATAAGATAATATCATTCAGTATTTGATAATGTAATAGAATAAAAATAAATATTTAAGAGACATCCCTATAGTAATCACAACATCCTTCTAGATGACATATTGGGCTCTCTTGTTTCCGGAATGATTCAACCTTGTTGTCTGATTCTTATGAAAATAAATCCTCTTATTTGTTATTTACTATAAGAGATGATTATAATCATTTACAACCATTCTTATACTACAAAACCAGCTTGATGGCATCAAACTCCTAGAGGGTGTTTGGTACGATGGAAAAAAATATTTAGCCAGGAGAGTGGGGTGGGGAAAAAAGTTGGCTGTGTTTGGTACGTGGAAAAGTTAAAAATTGATTTGGAAACATTTTTAGCTGTCAAACACATTTGCACTTGTTTTCTTTATTAAAGTTTCCGTCCAAAGGTATGGTAAATATTCTTTCCCATGCGGTGGGAACAAAAACTGAAATTTACAAGACAAAAATACCCCATGCTTTATTCTTCCATTTTGTGTGCTCTCTGGTGTGGCTACGACTGAGTACTGCATGTTGTATCCGTTCCCAACTCCTATCCTTTTTTTGTGTATGACTTGCGGCTTTGGCAAAGGAGATAGTTGTCAATAGTTGAATTTAATCAGAAAAGAACAACTGAGACATCTTTTGTTACGGTTCTATACCAACCTGGTGAAATTGAAATAATGTATCTAGCAGATGCTTTTGTTTTATGCTTTACATTATATGAAGGATATGTAACCATGACTTACAAGTCCATTGGCTTTTGTAATTATGGTTTATTTGTATACTTCAATTATGCAGAATATGCAAGTTTCAACCAGTTTTAGTTTCAGTTTCTGAGATCAACGTTTTTCATACGGGTAGTGCCATATAATGACCTTTTTCATACTGTTAATTAGTAAAGGGGTTATGTAATATAAGACTGCACATTTATTTATTCAACATTTGTTATGTCTTATTGGGCAAAAATGTATACAAAGAAAGATACGTGTAAAAGAGAGACACACAACCCAGTTGTCAAATAATAACGTTTTTATGACAAACACGTTCAATTTTCAAATTGGGGGTTATTAGGTAATTTTGGTACTTTTTCCCATTAATATTTTACAATCATCCAAACATAATATCAGTAAAATTCATCTAACTTTCCCGGTAAAATTTTGGCCTACCAAACACTTTTTTTAACTTACCCGGTAAAAAAAACTTTCCACTTTTTTTCCAACAAATATTTGTTCCCAGCAAAAAAAAATTTCTCCCGTACCAAACGCTCACTGATAAAATATTGCGGATAGAGGGATAGATGTACACCAACACCATTCATTAACAGGGCTTACCATCGGAAACTGAAAGGGCCACAGAGGAAAAGGGCTCCTAGCAGAAAACTACCGCACCAAGCATTTCAAAAAGAAGGTCAAAATTTTGAAATTCAAAGATTCAGATCTGGCTTTTTGGGTCTTTACCAACCGCTGAAATTGAATTTTTTTTTTTTTTTTCAATTTCAAAAGAATGGGGAAGTAGTGATTAAACTACTGGTAGTAGGGGTATTCATCAACCGATCCAGACCGATTCAAACTGCGAAAACCGAAGCGAAAAATCGATAACCGAATAAATCGAAAACCGAAAAAAATCGCAAATTTTAATTGGATTGTATCGGTTTTCGGATGGGTTGATGAAAACCGATCCAATCCAAACCAATCCAATATATTAATTATCCTCTACATACTTGTCCTTTCTCCAATCATAGTCCAAAAATTTCTAAACTCAAGACCCATTAACTCATCAACTAAACCCAAGAAAAAACTTAGTTACGTCTCATCAACTATAGTATTGTTTACTGATGTTTTTGTATTTCATATTTTTTTTTACAAAGTCAATATTTACAAAAGATGTTATTCGTACAATAATCATGAAACTAATTTTAGGATATTCAAAAAACCGAAAACCGATCCAATCCAAATCAAAAAAATTGGATTGGATCGGATCGGATTTTAAAAAAATTCTAAACCGAATGGATGATTACATGATCAAACCGAAGGGATTGGATCGGATGAGTTTTGCTTCCAAAATCGATCCAATCCAGACAGCGAACACCCCCTAACTGGTAGCATGTTAGGGTGGGCAATGGGCATTTCACCCAACTAAACGTGAATTCAAATGCTCTACTCTAACTTGCTTTTCTTCATATTTGCACCTGTTTGGTTTCCCGTTAGGACATCGGCTCAAATTTTATTTTTAGCCCCAAACTTGCTTTGGCACTGAACACGTTGCGAATTCATATCAAAATCAATTTCTAAATGAAGGTATTTAAAAATATGGGAATAGATCTACTTATCACTGCAAAAGTTTACCACTCTTTCAACCAATTTAATTAATTTTCGTTAATCTAACGGTTATAATTTATTACAAATTAACAATATTTATTGTGTCACACTTATTAATTAATTATAAATTTTTAATAAATTATAACCGTTAGATTGACGAAAATTAACAGTGACTAAATTGATTGTAAAAGTGGTAAACTTTTTTGGTGGTAACTGGTAAGTGGATCCTGCCTCAAAAATATAAATTAATTTATTTCATTTTTTTTGAAATTAAAATAATCTAATATCAAGTTTGTAAAAATTACATAAATACCATTATAAAATTTCTAATATCATATGTCATGAACAAAGTTCTCTCTAGCTTAAGTTGTTGATCAAACATAAATGAATGATTTTATTTTTCTTTAAGCAGTCAGAGGCTTTGTAGCATCGATACCGACACGCGACACGGGACACGACACGATACGTCACTCTGACACGTTAATTATAAAAAATGTTAGATTTTGACACGTTAAGACACGTTTTGATATTAAATAATATTTTTAATTTATGTAGTGTATATTATATTTAATATTCAATAATTTAACAAAAAAATGAAACTAAACTTATAATAGTAATCAATTTTGCAAAGAAGCATAAGACATCTTAAATATTTATATTAAACTCAATAA